CCTCACTCACACACACACACACACACACACACACACACACACACACTCATTCGCTCACTCAAACACAGAGAACTGAGGTGATGGATATTTTAACCAGCTTGATTATGGTGGCTATATATAATGTATATATTACTATATAGAGAAAATTAAATTTTATACTTGATTTTTGGGGATTTTTGTTTTGTTTTTTTGAGACAAGATTTCTTTATACAACAGCTGGCCTGGAATTCAAAGATCCAACTTCTTCTGTCTCCCAAGTGCTGGGATTAAAGGCAGGGACCACCACTGTCTGGCCCAGCTTTCAATTTTATTTTTTTTATTTTTATTATTTATTTATTTATTTATTTATTTATTTTTGGTTTTTCAAGACAGGGTTTCTCTGTGTAGCCTTGGAGCCTGTCCTAGAACTTGCTCTGGAGACCAGGCTGGCCTCGAACTCACAGAGATCCGCCTGCCTCTGCTTCCCGAGTGTTGGGATTAAAGGCGTGCGCCACCAACGCCCGGCTTTAGCTTTCAATTAAAAACAAAAGATTTTAAATTTTATTTCATGTGCACAAGGGCTTTGTCTGCATGTATACGTACACCATGTATGTTCGGGCAATGGATCCTCTAGAGCTGGAGTTACAAGCTGCCATGTGGGTACTGGCACTGCACCTGGGTCCTCTGCAAGAGCAGCCAGTGCCATCTCTCCAGCCTCGTTTATTTATCCATCCATTCATTTTTAGGAGAGGTGTTCTTTAAGGTGGAAGACCATCCACTTTCTGGCCAGCTGGCCTGGGATACTGGTGAAGAGACCAGCCATAGATGATGATGTGCCCTTTGGCCTGTACAGGGAGATGCTGAGTAAGACATGAGGTCTGGAGAGAGATGTTTGGGAAGGATTGGCATTTGGATGATGTAATGGTTACTGTCAACTCCCCTGGGCTCTGGGATGCCTACATAGTGGGTTAGACTATTTCTGGGTGGTCTGTGAGGGGGTTTCCAGATAGATGAGCATTTGAACTACTAAGTGAAGTGTTTAGGCCTCCTCCATGGGGCCTTCTCTAATTGGCAGAGGTCCCAACAGAACAAGAAGGTGAAGAGGCTTGGAGTTCCCTTCCCTCTCCCTGGCTTAGCGCCTGGGCTTTCCTACTCTTGCTCCTGGTTCCTAGGCCTTTGATTCTAACCAGAATCTACGCCACTGGCCTCAACCTCAGCTTCCCTGCTTGTGGACAGTGGATCAGTCTCCCTGCACATCAATGCAAAACCTCAGCTTCCCTGCTTGTGGACAGTGGATCAGTCTCCCTGCACATCACCCCACCCCCTTTAGAAAAGCTCTTGGTGGCCAGGCGGTGGTGGCCATGCCTTTAATCCCAGAGAGACAGGCATATCTTTGTGAGTTCAAGGCCAGCCTGGTCTACAAAGCAGATGCCAGGACAGCTAGGACTGTTACACATTGAAGCCCTGTCTTGAAAAACCACACACACACACACACACACACACACACACACACACACACACACACACACACACAAGCTCCTCTGCTCTGGAAACCCCTGGTGACTTAGGAAAGCTGGAGCCTAGACAGGAGGAGCTCAGAGAGCAAATATCAGATAGAAGGTGGAGGCTGGAATATCTCCAGGGCTCTCTGGTGAGTGGGAACCAGGAATGGGAAGGAGACCCAGGAGAGATGGTCAGAAGCCACAGTATAGAGGGGAGGAGCGTCTGGAGAAAGCATAGGCTTTCTGTGACTAGGGTGGTCTCTGGAGCAGCCTTTGACCCTGAGATGGAATTGCTGCTGGAAGCTAGATTCTCTCCCTTGGGGGCCTGGCCCCACACCCACCTCTCAGCTCTCAACTCCTGCCTTTGGCCAGCTGCTCACTTGCACTCGGCCAGTATCTGGGGTGCCCCTTGGTCTGAGATGGGGCCCCTGTGTTGGGCTCCCACAGAACCCGCAGTGACTCGTTGAAGACTCCTCACTCCACATGTTTGAGTGTCAGTCTCCCACCTGGCCAGGTGTACCCCAGGTTTCCACAAAGGCCCCTTGTTTCTGTGGCCTGAGATCTACGTGTTTAAGTGGTGACTGTCAAGCAGAAACCTGAAGCGGAAGCCCTTTGCTTGGTGTGCTTGCACAAGGCAGCCCTTGGCCAAGCAGAATGGCCCTTGACTTCCTGAGACCTGAGGTTCTGGGAGGACTTGTCAAACCTCTCAGCACAGCAGGGACCACCCCCCCCCCGCAGCCCCTCCCTTCTAAATACCACATCAGGATGAATTCCTGTCGACCAGAACCCTGGCTTGGGTCACAGTTCCACAGAGGCATCTCAAGTGGCCTGAACTAGCACCTGAAATGGACAGGTGCCCATACCTAAGTCCCTTAGCAGCCCTGATGGCACTTGGGAAAGGTCTGGCAGGTGAAGGAGACTATTGTCCTAGCTTTCTGGTGTTAGGGGTTTTCCTGGGCGCGATTCAGAGCATGTGATCAGAGTCGCTTGGAGCCTTAAGGCTTTGTTTTGTACTGTATTGTACTGTATTGTACTGAACTGTATTGTACTGAACTGTATTGTACTGTACTGTATTATACTGTACTGAACTGTATTGTACTGTACTGTATTATACTGTACTGAACTGTATTGTACTGTACTGTATTATACTGTACTGAACTGTATTGTACTATACTGCATTGTATTGTACTGTATTGTACTGTACTGTACCATATTGTACCATACTGTACTGTACTGTATTGTACCGTACTATATTGTACTGTACTGTACTGTGTTATGTTGTATTTCTCACTTGCTAAGGACAAGCACTGTTGTCCTCTGACAGCAGGAACCTATGGAGTAAGAGGGACCTGGACCCTGTGGAAACTAACTCACAAGTGTTCCCAGTGAGTGAAGACAGTTTGGAGACACTGACTGGACCCTTTCTGAAAATGTGTTCCAGAGTGGCTTGGCCTGGAGGGCTTTGACCAGAGCTGCCTATTCTGTCTACACTGTACCACTTCTATGGGGATAATTGTTCCCTCACTCTCAGGACAGAAACCTAGGCTGTCCCTTTCCCTCCTCAGTGACAACACAGGCAGGTTCAGCATGCATGATCATTTATTGGCTTTGACTTCTCCACATAATTGGTTTTCACTGGTCAGGGAATGAAGACACGGGGGATGTCAGGTCAGAGTCAAAGGCACTTTGAATGTCAGAATGGGTGAACGGAGGTTGATCTAAAAGTGAAAAGCCCAGAAAATCTGGCCTCATCCAGCTAGCACCTTCCGTGCAGGCATCACAGGACCCAGGCCTTCTGCTGTCCTCCATCCCCCAACACCTTCAGGACCTGGCTGCCACAGTGAATGGGCTGAACACATATGTAGTTCTGCACACACAAAAGTGACAAAAAAAAGGTGACAAGGTAACGGAGAGGATGTGCTTGTAGCCTTAGATAACAGCTCCACAGCACGACTGGACCCAAGGATTAACGTGAATACTTGGCTCTGTGAGCCTGACCTGGCTTCGGGACCCCCCCCCACAGGGGGGGCAGGGTTTGCTCTGGGAGTCCTCTGTACCACAGAGTGAAGGAAGAGGAAGTGGTGGTCTGCACAGCTGGAGCCTGGGGACTGTTCAGATCTCTGTGGTCAGAGGGAGTTTCAATCTCCTCAGACCCCAGCCAAGGGCAGAGACAGTCTGTGAGAGGAAACAGGATGCTGGTTCCCACGAGGGCTGTCCCCAAGGCCAAGGCCACGGGCTCTGCTCTCCTTCTACCGCTTCTTCTTCGCCTCCTTCTTTGGCCTCTTGCTGGTGGAAGGAATGGCAGTCTTGGGTTTCTTCAGCACCTCTGCACTTCTGGGCTCCGACTGCTCTGCCTCCTGTGTGGCAATTTTTAAAAAGAGAGTCCTGTTTAGAGGAATCCACCTTGACCAAAGGGATTCTGCCAACTGAAGCATGCCCCAGAAACACAAGGGAACGATTATTACCCAGACTACATTCTGAAAGTACATGGCACCAGGTGGCATCTGGGCTCCTTTACCTCCCAGTTCAGTGGCCTACGGGCCCCTCAGTCCCATGTCTTATGTGTAAAATGGGAACAGTGACAGACACCTGGAGGAGGTGAAGTCACAGGGAGCATCAGCAGGCTGTGTTGGTGTTCTGACCCAGTGGCTGTCAAAATGCCCCATGCTAGAACAGCATTAGTGAGGGTTGGCTGTGGGACAGGCTACTATGGCTGGCACTCCTGGTGGTTGCTCTCCTCCCCCTACTCATCTACAGAATCTGGGCTGGGGGCGGTGAGTGAGCAGGTGGGCTATCACTACATTGTATTCTGCAGAGTTTGGCAGGAGTGCCCAGGGGAGAACAGAGGCAGCCTCAGGCCAGAACCCCATGTTTTCAGCAACTAGGGCAGCTCCACTCTGTCTGTTTCATACCCTATGGCTCATCCCTTGTAAGATTTGCCTGAAACAAAGGTTCTGCAGCTGAAAAGAAAAAAAAAAGTTCAAAGCCACAGATTTAGGTCTGGCCCTCACTGCAGATAAAGGTCAGCCCCAGGCCACTTCGCTTGTACCAGAGAAGAATCAGGAATGCTCCTATCTGATGTTCTTTGGAATCCCTTTGTGATAACACGAGGAGTGTGGTGGCCCAAAGGACACCAGAAACAGGTTAGCTGAGGGAATGCCAGGCACAGCCTGGGCTTTGTCTGCAAGCTGGACTTGGTACACAGTGTTTAGTCTTAAAAATCCATGCTGGGTGGGGGTGGGGTAGGGTGGGGGGCAGGTGGCTCAGCAGATAAAGGTGCAGCAATGATCTGACTTTGATCTCCAGGTCCCACAGAGTTGAAGGAGAGAACTGACTCCTAAAGTTGAGCTGTCCTCTAACCTCCAAAAATATACCATGGTGGAGCTGGGTGGTGGTGGCACATGCTTTTAATCCCAATACATGGGAGGCAGAGGCAGGTGGATCCCTGTGAGTTCAAGGTCAGCCTGGACTACAGAGTAAGTTACAGGACAGCCAACGATATATAGTGAGACCCTTTCTCAAAACAAATATCTATGGCCAAAGCTCAAGTCAAGGGGCTTTCCTCCTATCTTGAAAAACAAACAAACAAACAAAAAGAGAGAGAGTGTGTGTGTGTGTGTGTGTGTGTGTGTGTGTGTGTGTGTGTGTGTATGTGTACACACCGTGGCATGTATGTCCCACCCTTTGCAAAAATAAACAAATAAATGTGCTAGAAACAATCCATGACAGGCTGGTGAGCTGGCTCCATGAGGAAAAGCACTTGCCATGTGGTTCAAGTTCCAGACGCTACATGATGGTGAAGCCCTGTGCTCACCCAGGGTGCTGTAGAAGGGGTGGTACATTCCAGTCATTTGCTCACTGGGCCTTATGATGATGAGGCAGCCACTAGAGCCCCATTTACTGCCAAGGATGCCAAGGCTCGACTGGGAACTTGTAGGCAAGGTACAGGGGAGCAAAGGAGGCTGTCACAGAGTAATTTGGGTCCTCAGCCCCCAGCTACCCACAGGGGTAGCTTCTACTCTTAGCTGACAGGAATAACTGAACAAGTGAGTGATTTGATTTCTCTTCAGATGTGTGTGCCCAGGAAAAGCCAGGGAAGAGCAGACTACACACCTGACAGCCTCACTTTTAAGTCTGGGGGCACCGTACCTCAGCTGGAGTGACTGAAGGGAGAAAGAAACCTCCATTGCCAGGTGTTTCCTGGGCCTGTGGAGGCATCTTTTGTGGATACAACTTCATCAACAATGAGGTGGCGAGAGAACAGCTCACCAGGCCAGAAAATTGCTGCTATCCATCAGGCCCAGGTAAAGGGATCTGTGCAGTACCAAGGGAACAGCAGCTCAATGTGGCTGTAAATCGGAGCAGAATGTCACTCAACACTGTCATCTTTCCTTGAAAACAATCCAGGGACAGGAAAGCACGGAGTCCTGCTCAGGTCGAATGTTAACTGTCTCATCCGACCTGCCAGGAGCTCTCCTCTGTTTACGGCCCGGCTAGATTAAGGTTGGACAGAACTCAGACCAGGTCAGCCTCACACTGGAACTCTGGCCCTACCCACTGTGTCGCTCCTGCCTGAGGCCCTAGGTGTGGAGATGGAGCACAGCAGTGGCCTGAAGAGGACAAGATACCAGATGAAACAGGGAGTAGGGAGGCTGTCTACAAGGGCTCAGCTATGCCAAACAGAGACACAGCATCCGAGGTGCTTGGGAGGCAAGCGGAACTGCGATTAGAAAAAACAGTCTGGGAGAGGTGGGCTGGGGGGCGGGGGCAGTTCAGTTAGTAAAGTACTTGCTGTAGAAGCGTATGGACCTGAGTTCAGATCCCCAGTACCCATGTAAATAGTGGGGTATGGCAGCACACAGCTGTTATCTTAGCATTACAGAGGCAGAGAGAAGACGTCTGAGTACACACACACACACACAAACCCACACACCCACA